CATTCCTTTCTCTACAATCTTCTGTCTGTAAGCTGAGTCTCCATGGTCCTTTCACGGCTCTTCCTCACTAAAGCAGAGTTAGCCCATCCCTCACCTCAGTGGAAAGTGCATGTTAGTACTTGTCAGAGCTTTCCTCTTTCTCTGAATACTCCTAGAACAGGTGGCCTCTGTTGACCTCTTGCCCTCTTGACTTTTTCTAATTCGCACCATTGCTCACAGTTATAATATCCCTGCCTGGAATTCCATGCGTTCAACTTTTCTAAAACCTATCAGCTTCAGCACTCCTTCAGGTCCACTAATATCCCATTCTTGGTGAAACTGTCCACAGTCATTTGTTTATTCCTGTAGCTCGTGCTCCAGTTCTAACCTAGAGATAAAGAGAACATGATCCCTTGTCCTTGATGAACTTCATATAACAACAAGAACATCAACAAACTGTAGTTCCCATGGACTTGGAAAACGTCTTAGTGCTTTTCATATATTTACTCATTATACAAAAGTACCATGAAGAAAAACTGTTACTACCATTCTATCCACTTTACAGTTAAGGAAACTAAGGCACAGAAAAATTAATTAACATGCCTAAGATTCCACAGATTAAAACCAAATGATGATAGAATCACCCTTGTAAAAGAGATGAAGCATTTAGTGACTCAGCACAACACAATGTGTACTGAATTCCTCTCTTGCAAGCTATTATATCCTGCACAAAGCAAAATTCATAAGCTTTATTTAGCACTTCTGTTATATTCCTTTTGTGACTCTGCTTCCATTTTTGGTGACTTTTTGTTTAACTCTTGTTTCTTTAATTAAGACGTCTGCAAAATATTTTACAATGCTGAACAAAAATTAAAGAAACATACGGTTAATTCTAACATAAGACACAGCAAATATTCCAGGAGAAGAGTATAAACAAGATTCTGGTTCTCATTTGGTTCTGGAATGTAAGAGTAGAATGAATACATGGAGTGACAAATATCTCCAATTCACAAAGTCTGCCCTTTTCTGTGTATAACTTGATTAGTATGCCACATATAATGGAGAGATGCAAGTAAAGCACAGCAGTGAGAGGAGGAATAAGCAAAGATTCCCTGGTGGGGTGGAGTAGTGAGAATCTAGGGCATAAGGGCTGTTCCTTCTCCAGAACTGTCCATAGCTCTCCCCACCCATCCCTGAGTTTAATTATCTGCATTTAATTTGTCATCCTGATCATATTCTTTCTTCTTTGATGTCTGACTGAAGACAGAGATTGTATGTTGGAGGGACCTTAATGTGGTATATCAACTATAAGAACTAACCTTATACATAACTGAAAATGACTATCTGTTTTTAATTTTAAGTATATGGGATTGAATATTATCACATCATTAATTTGAGTTATTTAACTGAATGAGAGCAGTTGCACTGCCAATTTCACTGTTTATATCCATAGACATATGTTCAGCCCCAGATCAAAAGTTATCTGTAGTCGCAGTCATATATAGATTATTTTCATACTTATGTACCAAGTTTTATTGCAAGAGAAGGCCTAGCCAGGACTTGTAGTTCAGGACTGTAATCCTAGCTAGTTGGGAAACTGAGATTAGGAAGATTGTAATTCCAGGCCAGCCCAGTCTCCTCCCCACAAAAAAGTTCACAAGACTCTAACTCAAAAGTTAGTGGGTGTGGTGGTGGATACCTGTCATTCTAGCTATAGCAGGGACTATAAACGGGTGCATATGGTCCAAGCTGTCCTGGGGGGGGGGAGTGAGAACTTACTGAAAGATAATGGGAGCAAAGAGGTTTGGAGGTGTGGCTCAAGTAGTGGAATGCCTGCCTACCAAATATGAATCTAAATCTAAGTACTGCCTAGTTATTTCCTCAGAACAAGCTTACAGTCATTCAGATTTGTAACTCAAGATTTTAACCTTGTTTGTTTGTCTATAAATTAAGTCATGTAACAAGTTCTAAAGTTAAAGTGCCTGCACAGCCTGAGCCAATGGCATGGAATCTAAGCCTCAGTGCCTCCTTTTCTTGTCTCACAGGTGAAGTAGAACAAGTTAGAGGAGGCTCCACTTTCAAATGTACACAGCAAACTGTCTGTCAGACTGGCATGTTCTCCAAGACTGCTTTCTAGCTACAGGAGGGTTGGATATGAGAGAGCAACGATGAGACTTGCCAAAAGGAATAGGACTTCGTGATTGCACAGCCAATGTCTCAGAATCGCTTTGAGTAAGAAGGGAAGTTTCTTATTGAAAATTCAATGTTTCATGTGTATGAAGGCAGGTGACAACTTAGAGCTCTCTGCTAGCTCAGTGTCAGAGATCTTTAGAACTACATGCTCTAGCAAGATCTGGGGAATAAAAGGAAGACAAAGATGTCCAAACACACAAAATTAACTCTTCTTTGATATTCAATTCCCTCTTCCTTCTTTGGTTTTACTTTTGAAAAATCCAACTCCAGGAAAGGAAACAAAACAAAATACTTAATTTGAATTTTCTAAGAAAAGTTAGAAAAATAAAAGCATCTCTCCATTTAGATATTAGAAATATTTGAAGAAGAGAAAGAAAATGGTGGCAGAAGATAAATATCAAAAAATACTGTGTCTATGTATGAAGGTAATATAAGAAAACTCACTGAAGCTTTTGGAAAAATAATGGAGTGAGAAAGACAGGGAAAGAGTGAGAAATAGAAGAGGTAAATGATTAAATTATAATATATCCACATGTGAAATACAATCGTGATCCCTTTATAGCCATTAATTTACACTAAAAATGAGTGACAATAAAGGAGGAGGCAGGTACCAGAAATGAGGGAAGGACAATGGGAAGGGTAATGTACTTTATTGTACATATGAAAGGAGAACAATAAAAATGGTAGAATATTGGGCTGGGAAGGTGGCTCAGTGGTAGAGCGCTTGCCTTGCATGCATGAGGCCCTGAGTTCGATTCCTCAGCACCACATTAAAAAAAAGCCAGAAGTGGTGTTGTGGCTCAAGTGGTAGAGCACTAGCCTTGAGCTGAAGAGCTGAGGGACAGTGCCCAGGCCCAGAGTTCAAGCCCCATGACCAGACCCCCCCCCAAAAAAATGATAGAATATTTGAAGAAGGGGAAAAAGGACAAGGGAGAAAGAGATGGAAGGGGCAAATTTGATCCAGTGCATTGTATGTATGCATGCATGTATGTATGTATATATATATATATGTATGTATATAAAGAAATGTCACAATGAGACCTTGTGCAACCAATATATGCTAATAAAAAAATCTTTAAAGATATATGCAGAGTTTGACATCTTTTCCTCTTGGGCATTCATATAAAGTTCAAAGCTGTCACTGCAGTAGAAACCACATTGTGATAAAAGACAATTTGTGGTTCTGAGGCAGTATCAGATTTCAGGGTCCTAATCAAACATACAAAAAACATCTACACTGATATCATCAAGCATTTCTGAAGAAATATCTAAATGTATTGCCTCTAGTTTATGTAAAGTTAGCCCCACAGAAGAGGGGAAGTGAAATAAAGGTAAGGTGGGAATTTCCCTTAAAATATATAAAAGACAAACTAAAGTAATTTCTGTAACTCTGGTCCACACTGATTACCTCTGGGCTATCTATGCTGGTTTCTAAGTAGAACTAGCAAGAAAACAAAAATCTACTACACAAAGGACAAACTAAAAGATTCCTAGCAAAACTGAAATTAACTCTTAGAGCTTGCCTTTTCTAATGGATAGATTTGTGTTAACAAGAACAACAAACACCAAAGCTTCCTTGTTAGTTAAAAATGGAGCCAAGAGAGTTACAACATTTCTCTGACAAGCAGATTCTCTTCAACATTCTGACACATTTTTATTGTATCTAATGCTATCACCTTGGGATACTTGTGTTTCCAGTGCTTCTTTATACCATCTGACCATTCTTTTCTTCTTTTTGCAAACAACAAAAATCACCATCAACAACAAAAAAAATAGTGTTTGCAAAACTCAGGCGAGAATTAAGCTTCTGGCAACATGGTAAAATCTAGACAAATGAACTGAAAGCGTCAGTTCAGCAACTAACAATGTTTAGTGCTTCATTAGTTTAAAAAGAGCAAATGTTTGCACAAAGGTCATCTATCAAGAAACACGAGCTTTTATTTTTTTCTTAGTCCAGATTTATCATCAATCTATCTGGAGATGCTCCTGGCATTTTAATTTTGCATTCAAAGTAGAAAAGTGTCAGAAAGAATCATGTTATTGGGATGGATTCAGTGCCCAGTTGGACAAGATCAGTAAGCTAATTATCAAAGCAATGAAATACTCACAAAATGGGAGCAAGTTAACAGCAGAAATACAGTCAATGGCTTTCAACTATGGTTCCAGAGAAGGCATGTCCTAGTTTTCATTTTGATCATTTTAAACTAGAACTATTATTGCTATATGCTATTGCATAACCTTGGAATCCCACTGCACAATAACACACAGAGAATGATGTTAAGCTGGTGAGGGTAGAGATCTTTTGTCACCCAAAACAAAGAGGGACATATTTTTAAGCCACACATTAATCTAACATCATTTTTCCCATCCAAAACAAAATCAATACAACTTTTCAATTTCACTGCTTCATGCTTCAAGTCTTTGTTATCTCAAGAGCATCTTTTATAACTTACAAAGCATTTCTCACCCCCAGCAAGTGATTGCTGACTTGGAATTCAGACCATTAAAACAGAAAAAAAAAAAGCTGGTAAAAGCAATAACTTTAGATCCCTGATACAGACCGTGAATCTGAGAAACACTATCAAAATCAAGAACATTTTACTAATTATATGTCACAGAGAATTCTGAGCTTTCTGTTTTTATCCCTATAACTTCCCCCACTGCCATTGCCTCTGTGTGTGTGTATGTGTGTGTGCGCACGCGCGTATGTGTGTGTAACAGCAAGGTACAATGAATATTTTGCAGAGAAACATATATTTCTTGTGTTAAATAATGATAAAAAGTGGCATTTTGGGTGCTTTAATCTCAGGCTACATGTTTGTGCTTACCTGAGGTATCACTCCAAAGGCTTTTCGCCACTGCTGCAAAGTTATTGAATCCCAAGACACACCATCAATCTGGATTTCTCCTTCAGTGTTCAGAAGCCTCAGAAAAGCTGATAACAAAGTGCTCTTCCCTGATCCAGTTCTTCCTAAGAGGCCTACCTGCAGAACAAAAATGATGGAATTACTGCTGGAACATACAGATATCATATCATATTCACAATAAAAAGCTATTGGTATTGTTTCTCGTGTCATTCCAACTATTTCTTTAATTTCCAATTTTGATCACTATGATACAGAAAAGAATAATCCTTGGGACAAAATACAGAACTGGTCATAAGGGATCAGACTTGTTATATTGGTTTCATTTATCACTAACATTTAAAAAAAAAGTCTGAAAGTGTCCATTTTTGCATTAAAGTAAACAAAGACAGAGTGCCTTGATCTGCATTATTTCCAGCAACTTCCGAATTATGTTTCAAACTAGAGTACATGTAAGAATTAACTAACCTAAATAGGTCTAATATATATTTATTCAGAATAAATTAACCAAGTATAAATTTAAATCCTGAAAATAAGCACAGATATGTTCAGTGAGCTATAGATTCCCATGGAAGGCAAGTTGAACCCAGGCCTTACTATGCCTCAATGGATAAACTCTTGAACAGCTGACAGATGAAATTTTATTATCTGAACTTTTGGCAAGAAGGGAAGCACAGGAAGAAAAAAAACCTATTCTTGTTATCTAAAGACCTAGAACCATAAAAGTATAATGTGAACTGTGGATGTTATTCATTGCATGGGAGATCTGTATTGTAGGAGTCCTAGAGAAAGACTCAACTCTGTTTTAGGTCCCAGCTCTTGAGGGAAGTGCTTTGGTGGAGTGAGACACATGTCCAGTCACTAACACTGAATAAAACATCTAGCATTTCAATTAGTTGTAATCATTTGACATCATTACAATAGGACTCAGCAAATGGTCTTTTAGTGTAGTATATTTCACACTTGGGTAAATGATTATTTTTGTTTTATTTTTAAATTTCCAGTTCACTGAATATTAGGGATTTAGATAGATGTAATATAATTGTTTTGTTTTGTTTTTGCCAGTCCTGGGATTTGAACTCAGGGCCTAGGCACTGTCCCTGAGATTTTGTTTGCTCAAGGCTAGCACTTGAGCCACAGTGCTACTTCTGTATTCTTTCTGAGTAGTTTATTGGAGATAAGAATCTCACAGACTTTCTTGCCCAGGTTGGCTTCAAACCTCAGATCTCAGCCTCCTAAGTAGCTAGGATTACAGGCATGAGCCCGTGGCACCCAGTTTACAGATGTAATTTTAAATAATTTTAATTTTTATAGTTATTCCATGATAGTCTAAGTGTAAACCATTTACTGTGTGAGCCACAGTAAATGATTTACGGCTTAAAAACAGCCTATTAGATACTTATTAGGAGCTTGGAAATAAACTAGCCCTTTAGGATGTTAGTAAAAAACAAAAAAAGTAATGATGACAATTATCTTCCCCTATCATGAGTCTTTCACAAATGTGTGTTCTCTGTGAAAGATGACAAAGCCAGATCGATCAAATGTGATGCACAACACCTTTTTGAGTTTCTTCATAGAACTATTACAATTGGTAATTCTTTCTTTCTTGACTATTTCTTGTATTTACCCCAAGAAGGGGCAGGATTGTCTTTTTTTATCAACAAGGGTAGGATTGTCCTTTTTTTCCATTTTGGCAAAGGGAAAAAAATCTTCATCTGGATTGACCCAAGGACAATTTGACAGAAGTATGGACAGATACATAAGCAGATGAATGAAAAACTGCTTTTAGAAGATCTTCAAAGTAACTGGGTCAATTCTGGTCAATCACTAGATCAACTCTTACAAAAATCCTGCGGAATTTCATTATATACATTTACATTTCTGAATTAGCCCATGTTGCACAAACACATTTGTTACAGATCATAATTTTTCAAACATGATGGCCAAACTGTGAGTACACAATCTGTATGTACATAAATGAAGTACGGCAGAGAGAAGAAGCAGAAGTTTGGCAGACAAACTGGATGGTTTCAAGTTCATCTCTTGGGTATTTGTAAAAAATGTCCTCAGGACTGAATCCATTGTCAATAGTCATGGTTCTAATGAACAGAATAAATAGCTACATTGCCTTTCCTTCAGGGAAAAATACTGACATTTTATAGAACCTGGCTTTTACACTGGAATAAGACTGGCTCTAGAGGCAACTTGTAAGTCTTTTGTTCAGCTTTGAAGTGTTTAGCTGTTACGCTGGTTTCCTCCTACCAATAGATTGCTAGGAACCCATTATGTCTGACAAGTTTTTCCAAGAGCAAGGTACTTAACAAATTCTTCTTGTTTCTATAATTGGCACCTGATAATTCCTCTCCAGGATTTGTAAGAATACTTCCTGAAAATAAGCTTTCAATACATATCCTAAGTACAAATTCATGTTTTCTAATAACTTAGATGCACCTCAGCTGGGAATTTTGGATTAATAATTTAAACTATTAATGTGGAGAATTAAATAGCATTGAGTTTGGTGCTAGCTGTACTGCACTGAAACATGAATAGAGCAGTCATAGTACATTCTTTCCATAGGGTTTTACTTGTCATTTTTATAAGCAATAATGAAAACCTGTCGCAAATATTTTTTTATTACTTTATGGTTCCCAGAAAGTAAGGTATAAAGCAAAGTGAAATAGAATATTTTCATATTTATATATCTGTTTATATGTGCTTTAGTATATCCCTATATGTTTGAGAATATTTTACTCATTTCATAATTTTTATAAATAGAACTTGCTCCAATATATTTAATCCTTGTCAAATATACTGGAAAGCAAGTGATAATAAATAGCATTGAGTATTTCTATGCCAGGTTAGTAATGGTGGTCTAACATTTTACTCACTATATCCCACAATTAAAAAAAAATTCTATTTAGAGTTAATCTGAGAAGGGTGGTTACCAGTGGCTCAGACCTGTAATCCCAGCTTTTCAGGAAGCTGAGACCTGGAGATCATGGTTTAAAGCCTGCTTGGGCAGAAAAGTCTCCAAGACTCTCATCTCTAATTAGTCAGATAATTGTAGGACCCAAGGTGTGGCTCAAGTGGTAGAGAACCAACTGTGAATGAGACAACCTAGAGTTCAAGTCCCAATTTAAAAAAGAAGAAAAGAAAAAGAAAGAACCATAAAAATGAGAATTTAAAAGTCATTTTTCTTGAGATGACTATCTATACTATTTCTATAAAAAAGAAATGAATCAAAATATGTAATACGCCTACCTAGATTTATAGTGTGTTTATGGAACATGAAATATACAGAAAATAACTCTCCTCCAATGGTCAGTTCAAGGAATTCATATATAATCATTTTTTTCTGCACCCAGCGCAGGGCTGGATTCCATAGGAAACACTTGAAAATAATGCATTCTGGAACCCAGGGCTTAAGGGTTGCTCAGCCTTCTTGTACCGTCAGTCCAGCATTTTGATGGTTAATTGGAGACCGAGTCTTTAGCATCTTTATATCTTGTCTGGCTTCAGACCACAGTCCACCAGATCTCAGCCTCCTGAGTAGGTAGGATTACTGACATGCAGCCATATACATACAGTTACTTATGATTAGTGAATCATAAAAATTAATGTGTTGTAGTAACAAAATTATCACTTAGTATTGTTTATTTCCACTTTGTAAGTAATTTGGCAAAAATTACATTTATCTTGATGGAAACTCCAATGAAGGAAAGAAAGCTTGAAAAGAAGCTGTAAAGAAAGATCCACTTATTTTGGCAGAGCACTAAGCACAGTTGAAGATTCTAATGAGGAGTCAGCAATCAAATAACCATATTATTACAATAGAAAACTGAAAACATGTTACAATTATGGTTTGGTTACCAAATTCTATAGCTGGTAAAAACAGTAGTTCATGAGATGTTCTGCAAGTATGATGACATTTTAAATGAGTGTATTATATCGATTCAATATTCTCCAAATTAAATTTCATACCAAACAAAATGCTTCTGTTCAATAACAGCTCAAAATGTGTGTGCTTAGTATTGGTCCTTAGTGTTGCAATAATCATGCTAAAAGATGGATCTTGCTAACACATTTTTGTAGGCTGTTGGGATTCACATACGAGTGTAAGAGGTCTAAGAAGCAAGCAATGCTTAAATCTCACCCTCTGGCCAGGACTGATTGAGAAGGAAATGTTTTCTAATATGGCGTTCCCACCGTCAACGTATTTTGCTGTGAGGTCTTTGACAGTCATTAGGCCTCCTGAAGGCCAGATGTCATCTTTGTTCACCAGCTGATTCTCGATAATCATAACCTTTGAGAGCTGACTGTCTTTGGATGGTTTTGTTGATTTGGCAGAATTACCTTCTTCTGTTGGCATGTCAATAAACTTAAAGATTCGACTCACAGAGCGCATCTGAAATGGTAAAATAGTATTTTTACTTTTGTTTGTTCGAGAACTATAGGTTGTGCCATAATTAGTTTGGAGTTTCCTACAGCTCAAAAAAGAAAAAAAATGAGGTGGTAATACAGGCAACTCATCTCTCAGTTTTTGTTAAATTTTCCAATGAACAGGACGTAACTGGATATAATTAAAATCTGAAGCAAAAAAGAAGATTCATCAGATAACTCGACTCCGTATAAACCTGTTTATTTTTGTGATTGCTTAATTCTCAGTTAACGTGAGTTACATAAAATTGGCAAAGTACTCTCAAAAGAATAAATGATTTTTGGCTAGAATGAACCAAAGCTCAGAAACACTACTGAGTATTTTGCCTTTCTCTTATGCTCTACTAATAACCATAGCAATCCTACATGTCAATAGGGGGTAAGTAGACATTCTTTGCTTATTTGGTTTTAAATAACTCCAAAATAATGTCCAATTTTAAGACATTGAATTATAGTTACTCTAATATTCTTAGTACAAATTTCTTAAATATCAATTTCTAAATAATGAGACTACATAAGTGTAATATTTGAAATCAATTACGCATCTGTATTACAAATATCTTGATGTAAAATTCAATAAAGTATATCTTCAATGTGCACAGAAATAGAAAAGTTTAGCTATTTTAAAAAAGATGCCTGACTAAATTATGAACTAAAACATTTCATTGAATAATTATAATTCATTAGTATTCAGAATATGGTTTTTAAAACAGCCTAGTACCAAAAATAGATATTTGAACAATCAATAAATGAAGGTAAGAACATATCAATGAGTAAATACACATAGATAAATAACACAAAAGTGTCTGAGGATTTTGTATTTTCTTAACTTCTGTTATTAAAAGCTATCATCCTTCAACCTCTTGTTTAGTCCTTCCAAAATGTTAATAATACAGAAGACATGATTTTACTGCTTATTGTGAGTCTTAAAAGTAATTGTTGATATTAACTTTATTCGGTCAAAACTGACCTTCTCTTTTACAATAATAATTTTTATCAAATATGCTATATTATTAGTTTATATACTGCAAAGACTTAGATTTCAGGAACAATACTTTTGAGTTAAGGGAAAAGGTAGATAGAAATGCATTTGGAACATTTGCTTCTATTCCTTATTATCAAAAGTTGAAATCACAAAATTCTTCATCGTTAGTATTGAGCTTCAGAAGCCAGGAGCTTCAAAATTTATCTTTCATTTAATGCTCAAAGTCCATTTCAGCAATTCTAATTTTAATGCCTGTTTTGATCAAGCCTGCTCTCTTTATATATATCTTTTGCTTTCCAATGGCTCTGTGTTTCAGTTTCCTTCATCTTGAAATATCTTGGGTTTTTTTGTTTTGTTTTGCTTTGTTTTTGTGCTGGTCCTGGGGTTTTGGATCTTGAACTCTGGGACTGGGCATTGTTCCAACTTCTTTTGCTCAAGTCTAACATCTATCACTTGAACATAACTCTACTCTAGACTTTTTTGGTGATTAATTGGACATAAGAATCTCATGGACTTTTTCTGCCTTCTGGCTTCAAACCACCATCCTTAGATCTCAGCCTCCTGAGTAACTAGGATTTCAGGTGTGAGCCATCGATGCCTGGCCAGAATAATTTTTGGAAGCATTTCAGTTTCAAGAAGAGAATTCTTGCAACTCAAATTAATTGTTAGTGGAAATTAAAAGGATTCAAAGCCCATTTCCATCATAAGTAACTCTAGAAGTGAAAGGGGCATAAATGCAATTGTTCCCTTTTTGATTATTCGGTTGTTTTTTAAATTATTTCCTCACATAGCATTTCCAACCTGCAACCCATGAAAGAGGCATGCTGTAGAGAGCATTCTACTACCTGACATGAATGATCACAGGTGATATGGTACAGTTTCAAATTTCCCTGTATTTCCATAGTAATACTTCAGGAAAAGCCATATTGAATCTTTGGGTAACTTAGGGTCATACAAAAAGTTGAGAGAAAGCCGGACAAAAGAGAACTCACAGTCAGGACACATCTACCCGGACTATGCCCTTTTAGGTCAAATAGGAACATCCATGAACTAAAGACAACTTGAACAAAAGACAATATAGAGAAAAGGAGTAAAGCCAGACACGCCTTACTTCTGATATCTTGGTAGTCTGTAAACCACTCAGAACCTATTGAGATTGCTGAATTAGCCAAGATTGTTTCTTGTGTTCAAGTAAATACATGTTCAAAAATAGGAAATAATTACAACCACAGAAAAGTTGAAATGATATTTCTTGCATCTTTCATTTCAGGGGCAAAGATTCATATTTTCTATCAGAAATGGATCTGGGGTGGTGAAGCTTATAGCTTAGGTCACTCGTCTTAAGAAAAAAAAATCTAAATTATAGATTAAAAAAGAAAATTAAGTACAGAGCTATTATAGGGTTTGGATCTTAAAAGTTTCCCTAAGTCCAAGTAATAATGGTTTGGTTTTGACTGATGGCAGTGTTAGGAGATGGCAGAACCATTAAGAAACACAACCTACTTGGAGGAAGAAAGTGTTGAAGCTCTGCCCTTAAAGAATTTAACTTTTCCACAAGACTTTTTAACCTCTCTCTGCTCTCTTTACTTCCTGACCACAATGCGGGGAGCAGCCACCTCTACTACACATTTCTGTTGCCATTAGGCCCTTCATCAAAAGAAATGGAGTCACCCAACCATGTACTGAGACCTTTTAACCCATGAGCCAAAATAAATTGTTCTTCCCTTTATGGTAATCCCAGGTATTTTGTTATAGTAACAGAAAGCTGACTAACACAAAGGTCTTCACAAGATTTCATGCAAGTGAGAGGACCTGGAAGTTTGATCTCATGTGTTTGTACCCATTACTACTGAAATGGTTCCAAGTATTTCTTGTGATACTGAAGCAATAGATTACACATTTAAATATTATTTAAATTTTATTTAAATAGAATATTTAAAGCATTCCCCTGCCTCTACTGCTTAGCACCATGCAGTCAGTTCATAAACCTTTGCTAATAGTGAACGAATTTACTGCCTTCTGTTCTATGCAGAAGGAAGTATCTGTGCATAGAGAAGGGCAGAAAGATGAGGATGTTCACATGTTGTCTAGCTTTTCAGCTTGAAGATGTATATCGCTACTTGGGTTATATAGAAGTCACAACATATGGAACTATCCCTAGTGTCACCTATGTAATTTTATTGAGTGCTTTAACCACACTTAACCTTTCATACATTTTCACATTATATGGAAGAACACAATACACTAAGATTGCATTGGGTAGAAGTGAAGAGTAGGAAATTATCAACGGGACTGGAGGCTGATCAGGTCCTTAACCTTAGGCTGCTACTTCCTGTATATAGAAAAGAATTTCCAGAGAAGGAGTATAGAGGAAAATAGAAGTTACATGATAAGGAGCATGAAAGCCAGATACTGGAACATTGAACCTTGTCTGCATTTGTGGAGATGAAATTTGTGCAAATTCTATATAATTCTGAACATTGGAATGCAGCCAAAATAAGGTGAGACTTTTGTTTGCGAATCATCTATTTTAAATTCTTAGTTCATTATTTAACTGATCAGGATCCCAAAATTCCTCTGAACATCTTGAGGAGTTGAGCCTTAAAACAGAATCTCATTATCTTTATAAGAGTGTCAAAGTTACTAATCTAAGCATCAGGAGAACAAAGTCTTTTCACAGATGACGGTCTTAAGAAAAAGATAGCTCCATAACCATGTCTCAACTTGACTTTATAAGGGATGCATCTAAGTCAAGAAGAAAATAATTCCTGATCCTCCTGCTCACTCCCTTTCAGCAATAACAGACAAGAAGTCTTCAAAGTTGTTTCAGGAACCAGACTCTTCTTTCACACAGAAATAGTTTCAATAGTTCTTTAAGTCAGTTTTGGTTGCTTAAAAGGCAAAACATCAAAATTATTCATTAATACTCAAGCATACTGTAATACCCAAAATGCAGAAACATAATTTCCTATACCTAAAATTTTACTAGCAACACTGTTAAAAGACATTATAACTATTACAGGAAGATTAGGAGATAGAACTATGGAGCAATCATTTAGGAAAAATATGTCACATGCTTTCGAGATTTCAAACTGTGAATTATATAAAAGAAAAACTCTGACTATTCAGAATATCTTTTTAAAACTCTGGACTATCTTTCTACATTTTATTATCTATGCTTCAAGAACACATAACGATTTACTCAGGCCGGGTGTCAGTGGCTCACACCTGTAATCCTAGCTACTCAAGAGGCTAAGATCTGAGAGTCATGGTTCAACCCTAGCCTTAGAAGTCCACGAGACTCTTATCTCCAATTAGCTACCAAAAAAAATCTGAAAATAGAGCTAGTGGCTCAAGTGGTAGAAAGTTAGCCTTGAGAAAACAATTCTCAGAAACAGCACCCAGGCCCTGAATTCAAATCCCAGAAGTGGCACACACA